ATGAATGTTGTATTTCACTAAATAGCTCTTTGTCAGTGGCAGCTGCGATTATCACTACGTGGTATTATCTATAAGATTCAAAACTTCCAGAGCGATTTGGTAGTGATTTGAGATGGAGCTGTGATTTACATAGTTCTGGATTTGCTGTGCAGATAGGAATTTGGAACAGCCTGATGTTTTCTTCCAGGAAAGTACAAATGCAGATGGTGCTAACCTTTCCATATCTATTTTTAAATGACATCTTCTTTTCCTGCTTGTAAAAGTTCCTAGTTTAAAATACAAAACTGCGTAATGTTTGTACTAAAGGAAGCCCTCTGAGAATTCGTTTGCGGATGCCAACTTCTCGCTGTGTAACATTCGAGCAAGAGACAGATGCAGAAAGCTTCAGAAGTTGCACAGCCCATCTCCAAAAGGAAGCTAGTATTTCTTTGTGCAGATTGTTTGCCAGTAACATCCTTGCTGAGGTTCATGAAGGATAAGTTGTGTATGTTTTAGTTTTGCTGATGTTAAGTCTAGGTGTTGACTTTACAACAATGGCTTAGATAAAATGTTACATAGTCTTAGAAATTAATGCTCTGCAGAATCATCAGTGCTTTGATGTAGCTGGTCTTGGGGAAAAAATATTGGAGCTAGGAAGGCCTTAGCAAATCTTCAGGCACTTTAAAACAAGTTTTTTAATCTCTGTTCTCTTCAGATTTTTGTTGTGAATGCATATTCGGATATACATGCACACACTAATTACAAGTTTTTCTGCTGGTGATGTCTGCTTTTGTAGATAACAGTAGGTCTTAAAGATGTTACTAATTATAGGAATTAAAGCTTTTAGGTGGTGTGATGTCTTAGTAGTAAGAAACGTAATTGTACTGAGGAGTAGGTTTACGTCTGAGCAGTAAAATTTATCCCAGATCTCATTTGAAGTTTTACATATTCTTTACCATTTGGAGTTTTAATTTCTCTTGTGACCTGTTACCAAACCACACAGAAATCCTGCACCGCATTTCTATTCTCTTAGTTACTTTCAAAGTTTTCCTCGTCTTACTCTTAATCCTGTTATAGAAGTTAAGAGTTTTTTTTTTGTTGTTTTTTTAAGCTTTTCCTTGTGCTGCGCGTTACTAGATTTGGGAAACAGTGTGTCTCATACAGAGTTTCAGAACATTTGTAATTGTCTTTTCTTCTCCCCCCCGCCTTCCTTCCTCTCTCAGTTGTCATAGTTCCCTGCTTTTCTTATCTTTCCTCTCACAGCCGCAGCTTTCAGATGGTTGTTTGCTACTCAAGGAACAGCTGTTACACAATAGCTGAATGAGACTAAGCTCCACTTAGGGCTGAGCTAATGTTAAGAATAAACAAAAAAAAAATTGTGCTTGGTCTATGGCCTTACCTGCGTGATCTTTTTCCTAGCCTAGGCCTTTGAAAGGTGATCGCAGGAAGATGGAACGTGAATGGCATTTTGGCTTCACCTTGCTATCTGGTCAAGGGGTAGAAATGGACTGGGGGGTGGGAAAGGAAGTAGATGTTGGAGGCTCTTATGTTTTGGAAGAAGGTCTCCAGTTTCTAACTGTGAGTTGTTTTTTTCTGCCTCTTGGTTCTTCGTGCTCCCATGGCCAAAAACGCTGCAGTATGTCCAATAAGAGCAGGTGGGATGACACGTTATATGGTCATGCTGATTTTTTGCCAAACTCCGCAGGTGAGGCGGAGAGACCCTGTTAATCTCCTTTTATTTCCTTTGGGTGAAGCCAGCCAATGTTCTTTTAATCTTTTGCACAAGGGGGCCCTAGGCCACCAAGCTGAGCTGGAAAGCGTCCCGTGAATTTAGTACAGCCTAGGGGTTGCAGCTTAGTTGGGGATGGCTAGTGAGGTTAGTGCTGCCAGCTCTATCTGTGCTGCACAGATGTCTGGCTGCTCAAGTCAGCTCCTGAGCCGCTGCAGGTTACAGTGCACCGTTTCAAGGGAAGCAATCAAATGCATAAGCTGTTCGTATCCTCTGAGAATTCCGTGCATGCGTATATTCAAGGCAGTAGTCAAGTAAAAAGAAGATATTTATTGAAAAGAAACCTTTCTGTTTTGCTCATAACCAATATGTGAAGTGTGTTGTTTTTTTTTTTTGTTTACTGTGACTGTTAGCCTCACTGAGGCTGTGATGGTTTAAGGATATGCGCGAGATAAAACTGATGGAAGATGTAATATTTGAAGAAAAGTTTGTGTCTGGAAGCTTGTCCGAAACACCTTCCAATTTTTCCTGTCTCCAATTATAAAACTTGTCTTATCAGGAGAAACGAGCCAATTTAAAAATTTCTTTCCTCTCTGATTGGCTTCTGATTTCACGAGCTAGAAGGGAAGAATAAAATGTAAGACCGTCTTGAGGTCTTGAATCTAGGTAAGTTGAAGAAATGAATGCTTGCTACAGGCTTATGGGATATCTTAGTTGGCTTTCACCTTGTATATTCTTGACCTGATTTGCTACTTTCCTTTTCCTTTCACTAATCTGTCAGTTAATGCTTTTGCAGTTTCAGTAGGGGCTATCCCTTGCAGGGATATGAGAGATGAGTATTGCTGTGTTAGCTTTATTTCCTTAATGTTTTTGTTTCAGAAAATAAGCACCTTTTGAAGAGGAGCCTCCATCATATGCGGGTTAGCAGTTCAGATGACTTAAAAAGACCTGAATGTATTACCATGGCCATGTTTAATGTGCTGGAGGTTTAAGGGTTATATGCAGAGGTCAGCTTTACTTTAAAATGAGTATGGATTTGGTATTTGACAACCATTATGTGGATGAAATGGATCTCTAAGGCATTTAGTTTGTTGTGTAAGAAACATCAGCGATGCAGAAATCAATATGGCTCATACGAAATGTATTAAAGAAACTGGCTAATTAATAGGCTTTAATGCAATTATAAATGGCGAATTGCCATCCAGTGTGCATCTTCCTGTAGGATATTTGCTGCTGTTGGTACTTGACCATGTGGTGTAACATTTCATCAGTGGCCTGGAAGAGATCATATATTCATTACCGCTAAAGTTTGCAGCCGGCTGAAACACTAGGGATAAAAAAAGTGCAGGCATGGTTATAGGGAAACAGGCAGCGGGGCGCGAGCTTGGAGATCTGTAAGTCGTGACAGGGACCTGGCGGATTTGTGCAGTTGCGGTGCTGTGGCCAGCGTGCTCTAGGGGGTGTGCCCAGGATTATAGAAAACAGAAGACACCTATTTCTTCAGCAGTTTAGTCTGGCCCGCTTCTGGAGTATAGTGTCTGTCTGTGATACTGAGGTGCAAGATGTGGAAAGACAGGAGAGAGCAGAAGAGCAGGAGACTGATGTAAAGAGCAGGAAAACAGGCCAATAATAGGAGACGTAAATGGGTCAGACTGCTTAGCTTGAAGTTTATTGATTCCCTGCTATAACTATTTATAAATTGCAAAGTGTTCCTGGTGCAAGGCTCCTAATATAGTTCTGTTCTGTCTCTATTTAAAAGATGTGCTTTATGTTAATGCTTACATAATGCATATCTGTATGTGGTCAATTCTACGGAATTTAAAAACAAAGAAGTGCTATTTATGTATTCTATTTACATAGTTTGTCCAAAAGATTTGACTTGTCTGGGTCCTCATCTGATGTGATTTATGTCAGTTTTATACTTGTTATCCTGAGCAGTGGTTTATCTGACTGTCTTGGAGGAAGATATGCATTAGATGAACAAGGTTCATCCTACGTAGAATCTCTGTAGACTTTAAAATGTTGTTTGCTTGGGAAGTAAGGGTGTGTTGGAAATATTTTTCCCTGAAGATTTGGGTAGCATCTATATATGCCTCTCACATACTGCTTAAAAGACAAGTCCCAGTATTTTCAAGCTAGTAATCTTGGAAAGTGTCTGCATTTTTAGGTCTTAGAGCTGCTGTAAGCACAGGCAACTTTGAATTTATGTTATGCTTCTGGCATGATTTGAAAAATGGGCTATGTTAGTATTAGAGAAGCTAAGTGAGCCTGCAGACTGTTCTGTTTGGTAGTAGAGTGCAATATGAAAATGACTTTGCTTGGTGCTTGGATCTCTAAATTCAGCCTTGATTTTGGCAGTTACGGATTCTCTGTGTGTGCGTGCGCGCGTGTGCATGTACGCGCGCGCACGCACGATCCATTAGGAGTGAATAGGGAAGGTAGTAAATGACTGCCTGTCTGCCTCTCTCCTATCCAGAAATCATGTTTTGAAGTATGACTTCTTGGAGCAGACCTGCATGTAAAAACCAGAAATAGCATGGTACTCCACCAGCAAGTCTGATTTTTATAGGAAAAGCAGTTCTCTCTAGAGTTTCTAGCAGCTCCATTAAAGCTCGTTGTAAAACATCTTGAGATGATTTTACACGTATCAAGAGATCCTTTCTGGAAATTCTCTGTGAAATTAGGAAACCTACACTAATGTAGAAGACGATTATTGTTTCTATTGAAACAAGGTATGCATAGTCAAGTAGTTGAATTCAGTTTTGATGTGCAAATAATGAATTAGCTTCAGAACTTTAGAGAACCTAAAGTTTTTGGTTGCACTAGAAGCTTTATATGCTTCAGCCTCCTAACAGGAGTTTCAAAGAAGTGGACTTTTGTCTGTTAATGCAGCCACAAACCAGAAAGATGCCAAGTTTCATCACTTTTTATCTCTCTAGGATAGTTTGTTCTTAAACATTTATTTATTTAGTATAAAATTACTTTGAAAGGTATCAGTTCCCACTCTCCTCCTTCTCTTATCAAATACTGTGAATAAATATAGTGGCTGTGACAGTCGCTGAGGGTGGCTTCCTGGCAAAATTGCTTTATATAAAATTGCAAGGAAGCAAGCATTTCTCTTATCCTCTCATTGTGTTACTTCCTGTGAAGTAACAGACTAGGTGTGTTTCCTGGATACAGATTTTTTTTTATGGTATTGTATGTGTTGGGATGATCCAATCAAATCATTCTTGATATCCCTTATAGTCTCAGCATAACAGGAAGCAAGGCTTTCTCACATCCTGTTGTTTGTGAGTTGGTCTGACTTCGGTGGAGACTGTTTAGCTATATCAGAATTCAGAATGAAGGTGAGCTTAAAATATATTTAGGTTTTTTTTTTTAAGCCAATCTAAGCTATAGTTTATAACCTTTTTTCTTAAACGTTCCTTTTAAAATTTTTCCTTCTCTCACCTTGTTAATACTTTTCTGATTCAGTTCCAGTGTCTACCTTCACTGACGTTGAATAGCACTTAACAAGCAAATACATCTCTTGTATTTCTTTTATTTAGGATCAGGGCCATGGTTTCATGACTCTGTTCATATTTTTAATTCGCTTGTCTAAAAACTACCACAGTAAGTATGTAGCTAATGATGAAGATTTTAAACTCTTGGTCCTTTCTTGTTCCATAACAGCTTTTTTTTTTTCCGATTTGAGGAGTGATTAAGCTGACCTCTATTTTTCCTTTTAAGCCAAGTTTATATACTTTGCTCTCACTTTATCTGCATCTTTTCTCGTGTCTATTTATCAGAAATTATGCCACTACTGTAACGAACGCGTCTCTGTTCTCTTGGTATAAAATCAGATTAATTTATTGTCTTGTTTTTCTCTTTGTGTTCAACATTTCAATACTTTCTCATGTTTCAGGAAAAAAACCTTACAGAATTTGCGTCTGCGAGACTCCCTTGTCCCTCTACGTATTCCTTAATGCTTCAAATAAATATGAATAGTCTTTAAATTATGTTTAGCCGAGTGACACTTTGTTAAATAATTTTTTGACTTATTTTACGCAAGTGATAAATGCTTGGAGTATGTTAGCGTTTACCACTGGCGGCTTGATTCTGTTGGTAATTTGCAGCGTCGCTGTTGTGAGCCTTGTATATACTGTCTGAGCTTGAGAGGCCTCAGTAACTAGTGCAGCCGAGTTAGAGTTGTTGCTCAGTAGGACCAAAGATGAGCTGCGGCTCACAGGCTGAGGAAAAAGTGTGCATGTTCAAAATGTGAGCGTTAACGTACGTAAGTGCCTCAAGTACCGTGAAGGCAAGAGTTTTTTTTTTTTTTCTTATGAGTGGGTAACGTGTGTCTCGTTAAATGTTTCCCCAATCTCTTCCGCCTTTGTTAGCAGAAGACCTGACGCGTCACAACCAGTTTGTTAGTCTGTTGTGTGGCTGGTTACTTTAGATAAGTTTTGTGAAAATAATTGGCGTTTCTCTTGGTTTCAGCCAAGCTCCCTTTTCCTTTTCCTAGTCCTCCTTTGTCCCTTTCTCTCTTCTCCTGGGAAGAATATGGCCTTTTCCTCTTCCGCCTTTGAATGGTGGTTTCTGGGGGACAGGCTTTCTGATACTGCCTGTTATCAGTAAAATAAACAGGTTCTTATTGACTTTGTAGATAAAGGCTACTACACTGCAGGAAACTGAACCTCTTTCTGTTTCTTAAATCAGCTGGAACAAGCGTAATAGCTCGGTCTTTATTGTCCTCTTTCTAATCTTGCACAAGGGAATACTGTGACTCCTTTCAACCTATATAGAATCTATTACAAGAGCTATTCTCATGAGGTTTTGCATGAGTGTTTCCATTACCTCAGGCAAATATTATGGGTCAGTTTTTTGCCTGAATATCCAGATGTTTAATGTCATCATCCAGCTCATCAAAGTTATACTAGTGTATTTTCTACAAGACAGTTTGAGGTTTGGATCTCTTTACTACTATTTGAAAATAATAAAAACATAAAATAAGCTCCAGCCCCCCTCCCAGACTTCCCAAACACCACTCTCCACCTAACCTATCCAGCAACTTTACTCTTTGCAAAATTCGTTAACGTTAAGAAACGCTTCTTTCCTCTGTGCGCATGTACGTTAATGTAGTACTTCAAAAACAGTATTTTATGAACAATTATGTATAGTGCTTGCGAGCTATTACAGAAAAAGGAGACTATGCTAAGGGTAATGTATTACTTTCAGTGGTACCCAGTAATTTTTTGGCCAACAAATCTATGAGGAAAGTTGAATAAAGTGTAATTATCAGAAGAGAGCAATTTCCTGTAGTTTAATTGACACTTGGTATTTTTAGCTTTTGTGATCTTCAGTTTTTCTCACATGCAGCTGTTTCTGTATTCTCTGTCTGTTTTCAAATGAGTTTAAAAAAAAAAAAGACACCCCTCCCCCTCAGTTTTACTGGTCCATAACAGTTTCTGAAAAGATGGTCACCTAGATCAGGAAATAGCTTCTACAGTCATGGTTTGGATGATAATAGTGGTAGAAATGCTTAGTTAAGGGTTTTTATGTGTTTAATATATGTTTTTTGTTTTTGTTTTGTTTTTAGACGTTCGATGCAAATGATCTTTATCAGGGACAGAATTTCAGCAAGGTTCTCAGCTCTCTAGTTGCTTTAAATAAGGTGACTGCAGGTAAGTAGAATCTGCTCTGTTTTGATGCTCCCTTACCTTATACTCAACACACATTAATACGTATTTATATGTGTTGCTATATCCATGGCAAAATGAACACCAGCAGCGTTTTAGAAGAGTTTCTTGTTGCAGTTAGTTCTGTGCTTGCTGTTTTAAGACACTGGCAGTGGCTTCTCAGGATTCTTTGGTCTCTCCTTCTGCAGAAGGAATTTTAACAGTGAGGTAAAAGACGGAGCCTTTTAGGTGGCAGGCGTTCTTACAAGAAGGACCTTTTCTTTTTTTCTTTCTTTTTTTTTTTCCCCCCTTCCCCTTCAGTTTGTACTAACTACTGAAAAAAGACTTGCTGCGCTCTGCTTCACTCCCATAATTGAATATTGTTGCCAGCGGAGACTTCTGCCTCGTTATTCTTTGTTTTTGCTCTTAAGAAGGAACCGTCTTTTTTGACAGTAGTGCAAGTGTGATGAGCATCTCTGATCCCTTAAGCTGTGCACCATTCATTTTGGTAGCAGCTACAAGTTTCTACCTCGTGTTTCTTAGGAGAGGTAGAGAGCTGTAGAAACAGCTCACAGGTGATAGGTGTCAGTGCTCTGCTGTAGGATGAGGCGGTGCTAAGGACAATCAAGAAATGTCAATCTTGGTGGCCCTTTTTGGCTTCTTGCTGCTCCGTGCTGGGGTTTTATGTTATCACCAGCAAGTTCCACTAGTGATCATCAGGTAAGAGGCTGGAGAGAGAGAAGATCATTTAAAAATGAACCATGACTGTCAACGTTAATGTGGGTAGGACAACAAAATTGATATAAAGAAAGCTAACTCAGTGGTGAATCAGTGTTATTTGGTTTAATAGTAGCATTGGAAGTATCTTGTCATTTTCATAATGCTGTGGTGTATTACAACAGGGAATTTATTGTGTTTTTTTTTCTTGTATGAGAAAATGCCCCTTAAGAGTGAGTTTAACAACCAGATTTCTTAATTCTAATGAATTGGCTTCTTTGAAGCTGCTTACATGAGTTGACGATGTTGCCTTTCATCTTAGCTGCAAATGTAAATGTAGACCATTTCAGTACATCTTTCAAGTTGCTACTGTACACTGATCACGGATGTTGGGGGAGAGGCGGAGGCGGCGCAGGGAAAGTGTGGCTGTGTTTGGTCCAGACATGAATAGACAAATATCTGCATCAAAAAGCCACAATTGCAGCTGGCGTTGGAAAGGACGCCGCTATATGCCTTTGATGGGGGGAGCTGGGGGAACCAAAAATCAAAACCACATGCAAACTGTGTTGCTGCCTCATTCTTAGTAGCAAGCAGAGCTGCATAAATCTTCCTGAGTAACTGTTCTTCCAAACAGTTATCTGTAATTGGATGAATGTGTAGAAGGCATTTTAGACTATATCTCCCTGACTAGTGTTAAAAGATGGCTTTCAGATCTCCATCTGGGTTTGCAAGAATTTCAGGCATACACAGATCTTCTGAGATGGATCTTTTCACAACTGAAGGAGTATGAGTAATGAGCACAGAGTTGACAGAAGGCTTCTATGTATATGCACTCCACCAGATTCTTTAAGTTTAGGTGGGATAGGACCAAGGTACCAGTAGCTGGTTGTAGGCAGTAAAAGGGAGAGGAACCGGTATAGAGAAGTTAAGGATGTAACTGTGGAGAAGAATGGGTGTTATAAGCCATGGAAGTCTTTGGGTGGATGCAAGTGTGAAGCTTGTGTGAAAACTACCAAAGTAATATTTAGCAAACATGCACATTCCATTGTCAGTCAAGATTTCTGAGACTTTTACAGCAGAGTTGATTTCGCCCCCGCCCTAGCAATAATCCCGCTGAGAAAAGCCTTTAATATATTTGTTTTGTATTTGAAATTTCAGTGCATAAATGGGGTCTGCAAGCCTTTTAAGACTATCAGAACTTCAAATTAATTTGGAAATATTCAGATATTATTAGTAAACGTATTTTTGCAGTTTGTGTGGCTTGTTTGGAATAATCCTTACTTCCTTTCAGCTCTGAGCCATGTCCGGTTTCCAATTTAAACTCCAGGAGGTGCTCCTGTGTTGGCATGTTAACTCTGCTTTTGGGAAATAGAGAATTTCAGGAATCAGGACACACTTGAACAGAATTTTTATGTAGAATGTTTTAGAAGTTGGAGTGCACTGTAATGGATAAACCTGATCCTATCCCTGGATGAACTGGGTCTAACACTGGATTTGGTGGTGTGTCTGTTCTTCCACTTGACTCCAAATAGAAAGCATCTCCTTTATAGTAACAAACTTAGCAGGGAGATGTTTCAGGTTACTGTTAATTCTTAAGTCCTGTTAGTTTCTGATAGTTTTCTTACTATGGGTACTTTAAATTTTTGGCAACATTAGAATTGGCCATAAAGTTATAACCTACAAGTGAAGCCCACGATCTAGTCCCGTTCTTCTCCCAGCAGTTTGTGAAGATGAAGAATTGTGTTCTTTCTGTAATGGGCTATGAGCTGCAGCATTTCTATTAACACAAGAGCCTTTAAATGCTTTTAAGAAAGCAAGTTGACAAAGAGTGAGTTCTTTTGTGACTTCACTGTGTAATGACATTATCCATACAAAATATGTAACTTAATACAAATAGTTCTGCTATTTGACTGGGGAGTCAATATTTTAAAACTTTTTGAAGGTTAACGATTTTTGAAGGATAACAGTGACTCAGTCAAAAAGGTGTACATTAGGAAGATAGTCTGGAGTGGTTGAGGAGGAATGAGCACGCTTTATCAACATTTTTCATGTGTGGCCTTTGTCCATCTCAAATGCTTTCCCTCCTCCTGCATCTCAGCTGCCATTAGACACTGTGCTGAAGTTAGAAGGTTTTCTAGTGGAGACGAATTAAGTTCTCCCTTCAGATTTTATTTGGCATGGAACAGCAGCCATAGTCTGTTCATCAGCCTCTTTGTGGAACTAAACCTGCATGTGTCGTTTCCCTTTGATCAAAAATAACGAGGATTGTGTAATCATTGCTTGCTTTAGCCTGAAAGCAGCTAAGTCGGAGAATGTAGTTGTGTCTGTGTACTGCTAATATAGGTCAAGTGTTGGAAGCGCAGCAAACTGCTGGGAAGGAGAATACACCGAGGCATAAGAAGCAGGGAAGCGGTTGGGAGACTTGCGTAGTCTAGTGAAAACATCCAAGCTGGGACAGAAAATGTTACGTTGCTTTTAGGGCTCTTTGGAGCTCAGATGCTTGCTGAAGGATTTCCTTGCATGTGGAAAGCAGAAGGAAAAGGAATGGTTTGTTTTACTCTTGGGCAAAGGAGCAAAGTTTGTCACGTCTGTATGGGCACTGGATTATTCGCCTTCCTGGGTATTTGGCTGCCTGGCCTTGGGGCCTGATCCCTTCCCTGACCTGCGGGTGACCGCCTGGTCTCAGCCCGTTCCCGTCGCCGTGGCAGTGCCTGACGCCCGGGGCTGGGGCTGTCGCAGCTGCCCTGCTCCCTGGCGGATCCCCCGGCACCAGGGAGCCCGAGGCTTGGGGAGGGCAGTTTTTTTCAAGCAACTTTTTTTCCCTTCTCCTTTATCCCCTCCTTGCTCCCTTCCTTCCCCCCCCCCCCAAAAAAAAAGGAAAAATAGCTTAGTTGGCAAAAAAGGGATGAGGGAGAGGAATGCAGGAAAAAAAGAGACAGTGGAAAGAATGTTTTAATTGAGAAGGAGATGGTGGGGGGGAAGAATTAAGAAACAGATGTGGCTGGCTTTGCCTCAGGCAAGTTTTATGCATTTGAATTTCTTGGCAGCTAGTTAAAGTGATGCTGCTTAATTACCTTTAAATAGACTGGTAGTGGGTAGGAATGGAGAAATAGTATCCTAGCCTTCCTTTTCCTGAAACGCTCAGATAATTTTCCTGTCTGCGTGTGGAAGAAACTGCCAGTGTCTTAGGAGTTCAGATCACTCTATTACTGTTTTATCCTGAGTTATTGAGCAACTACAGGTACTTTGAATCTGCTTTAAGCACATGAGTTTTACAGATGCATGTAGAAATTGATGTACGGATTTCTTGAATTGATGTCTGACTTTTTTTTTTTTTTTTTTCCCCCCTCTCCCCTCCAGACATAGGGCTGGGAAGTGACTCTGTGTGTGCACGGCCCTCATCTCATCGGATAAAATCTTTTGATTCCCTTGGATCCCAGGCTTTGCACAGTAGAACTTCAAAGCTCTTTCAGGGACAGTATCGCAGTTTGGTAAGTTCTGGAAGGATTGAAACAGGCTGAGGAGTAACTTTTTTTTTTTTCTTTTTCCTTTTAACTAGATTTGCAAGTAAACAATAGCGTAGTAAAGTAGCTGTTTACTCTGTGTATGTCTCTCTCACCTCTGTAGCTCAAGCCTATGAAGTTCAGTTTTCGCAGTTTTTCTTCCATTCTGCCAAAGTATCTGTAGCTTTCTGTGAACTTCAGATCATTTTTCTTGTCACTTACCACTCCATCTCATACGCACGTTTTGTGTCCTTCTGGTGTTCTTTTTAGTTTTCGTGATATGGAGTTGCTTTTTTAAAGGCAAAATCTAATTTTCTCCAGACGCTGTACTGCCTCTGAGTTTAAGGAATGGGTGAAGGAAGGATATTGAAACCTCAGCAGAGGTGATGCTTGTAACAGTGGCAGTGTTAGTAGTTATTCCTGTTTTCTGCTTTAAAGAGTGAATCCTTCTTTGGGTAACCTTTCAGGTACCTGAGGGGTACGGGCAGTTGTTTGGCAGTGCGGTTGAAATGAAGGTAGAGTACTGTATTGAAATTAGCTGTCCTGAAAGGTACTTTTGTCAACTAAAAGATTTGAAAGGACAGTTCAGATCTCTGCTGTAAACTTCCTAGTCATGCCTGAAGGAGACTTATTTTGAGCTGGGATGACTGGTGTGTGGCACTTGAACACAGCCGCGTCTCTGGTTAAGCTTTCTTAGGTGTGGCTTGATGTGTTTTGTCTGGTAGCAGAGCCAGTGCAAGTTCTTGCCCCGGGCCACTCATTCCAGCTCCCACTCCGCTGTTCACCACCCACTCGCTTTTGCTGATGCAGCTGTTCGTGGGACTAGCTGTTAGTTGGATCACTGAAGTGATCGGTTGTAAGTACTTGCATTATTTGATCATCTGTGCAACACTGGCGTAACTAAGGGGCAGCGAATTGCAAGATGGAGGGGAAGAGAGCTAGTGGCCAAGACCGGGAAATTCTTAGGTTGGCTTTGCTGCTGAAGACAATCAGTTTGCAGCTGTTCCCCATAAATTTGTTACTTGGTTTCCTCTACTAGAGAGCCACCCTGATAGAGTAAACGGGCTATAGTTGACATCACTGTGTAATGTTGTTGCTTATTTTCTGGCTTTTTACTGTGTGTTGATGCAAACATATTCTCCTGTTGAGCGGTCGTAAGGACTGAAAGCACATGAGGCATGAGGAGAGGGCTGAAGCAGAGTCACTTGTTTGAAACTACTCCAATATAATTGTTAAACAGTTTGTGTCTTACAGTATCTTGGAGTGTTCTGCAAATTGTGCAAGTTGCATTTTGCCCCACTTCATTAGAGCTGTTGAGCAACTGGAAGTCTTACCGATGAATTTGAGATGCGATGCAGTTTGTAGTTGCTGTGTATGTGAGTTCAGGTGACATGTTTTATGATCCCAGTGGCATTACAGGGCACATCTTTTAATCACCTGGACTGTATGGCAAACGTACAAGTGAAATTCTGCTACCTGGGTAGCTGTCTAGGATTCATTTACATGCTCGTTTTCTCACTGAGTCGCTTTTTCTTAATTATACACATATTGGTCCTTATTTGTGGTAGAGATGGGCATATTTTTTAATAATTGTGTTCTCTCAGTTCCAGGGCAGGGGACTGTATTTGGATTATTTAAGCTGTCTAGCTTTTTAGCTTTTTTTTCCAGTGTGAACATTTGTTCCAACTCTTATAATACGCTTGAGTGACGCAAATTTTCAGAATTGACGTCCAAAAACAAAATGCAAAGTTTGAATATCATTAATTGGAAATACTTTTTAAAAGTAGCTACCAACGTTCAGTTGTTACAATAGAAGGATAATTTGCCTTCACATCTGTGGCAGGGGATGAGCATACATACGGGCAACTTCAAGTCTGAAATGGTGCAAATTTGCACCTTTACTAACCTTGTGGCAAGTGGTTTGTGAGTCCTTATTCCAAGGAAATTGCATAATAATGGTTTCTTAAGTTCCATAAAAGAATATGGGCCTTTTCTATTGGTAGGTCATTTTGACTTGCAAATTCCAGTGTGGAATCTTTCAGCATGACCTATTACAGAAAGTTTTAAGCTGCAAACTCTTTATTTATATCCAACATTAAAATTTTTGACTTAAACTCAACTCTTCCTCCCATCCCCATCTGAAATGTCTTAGAAATAACTCTGTAATATAAAGCTGTTGTTTCTTTGTAGTTGCCAAAGGCAGTTTCGGTTTATCCTCTATATAGAAAATAATATTTGATTTTTGGAGAGTAAGAATTGATCCAATTTTAACTCTGTTGGCCTGCTCTGATTTGAAAGGGCCATAATAAGACAGTATATACTCTGGATTGATATAAATCCGTAGATGTAAATGACGGAAAAACTGGAATTGGAAAATTGTGCCTTGCGAATGCTTAGAACAAAAATATATGGGGAGTGTTGGTTGGGGGGAGAGCCTGTTTCCATTTTTATGGATGCTTCTGTTTTGGTCATGGAATAATTGTTTAAATCGCTAAAGTTATCCCTTTGTTGTTTGTATTCTCACTTACTAGGACATGACAGATAACAGCAACCATCAGTTGGTGGTGAGAGCAAAATTTAATTTTCAACAGACAAATGAAGATGAACTTTCTTTTTCAAAAGGAGATATTATTCATGTTACAAGAGTGGAAGAAGGAGGCTGGTGGGAAGGAACTCTAAATGGCAAAACAGGGTGGTTTCCAAGTAACTACGTACGAGAAATAAAATCAAATGGTGAGTTTTGAAGGACAGCATATTTGTACAACTCTTTGTTTTGGGTAGAGGTGGATAGCTGGTTGGTTCTTTAAAAATTGTAACGCAATTTTTTGTTGTAGTTAGCTTGATTGTATTTACTGAGCTTCATTCACAGAAATCATTAATGATTAGGAACTGTACTCCCCCACCCACCTTTCCTATACAGAGTTCTCTAGTAGTTTTGAGTTAATGCTGCACGTACAGAATGCTCCTACCATTCTGTCTGTCTCTCTCTCTGACTCACTGCTTGGCGGCTTTGACTGAATTCCTAGAATGCTGGATTTCATCTCTGATGCTGACATACTTTGATTTGGTGTTTGGGTTTAAATAGTGAGAGATTTCCTGCAAATCTCTAAACGTGCCCAGTTCCTTAGAAGCAAACAAAAGCGAATGGCTCCTCCAAGAAAAATCCTCAACCCTACTAAAATATACTTAAAATTAGTGAGAGATATTTTTTGGAAGATAATGTATTTGTGATTTTCTTTTTTCTTCAGTGTTTGCACACCCTCCACTGTTTTGTAGAAGCCTTAATCTTGTACCAATGTTATTCCAAAAATCAGATAATGAAAGTACCTTCTTTAAATGTTGTCTTCATGACTAAATATCAGAACTAGTGTGGCTTTTTACTCTGCCAGAACCTTGACAAGGGTGACATGGTCTATTTCTTGTCTCTTTTTGGTCTCTGCTAGCTTTCAGAGATTGGGGATAAACCTTTGTTCATCTAACTACCCGAGGAAGCTCTGAGAGGCTTTACTGCTGGTCACTTTGTCATAGCTCCAGTTGAAGCATACAGCCACACAGATACTTGGTTGTTAACTCAACTTTCGGGAGTAAACCCAATTTTTAAACTTCCTTTTTCCCCCAGTTATATTCTCTCATTTTCTGCCTTGATTTTCTGTCTGCGATCACTGTATGCTGAATGCTCAGGTCTTACACCTGTAACTTTGGCATCATTTTCAGCTAGACCTTCTTAGACATAGTCAGGAACTAAAGACTTAGTTTTAATGTTCTTCAGATGCCTCTCAGAATAAGCCTTATCCTGAAAAAAAAAAAGATTCCCAAAGCAGTGGTTTAGAATGCTTTTTCTTGCCTGTAGTGCTGCAGCGGTCTCTCTCAGCCATGCTGAATATCCTGTCCCATTGTTACTCATTTAAAATGCTGCTGCAGATACTTCATTCTGATTTTGTCAGTTTTGATCTCTTCTAACTCTTGAGACTGGACCCTGGAGCAGTAAGGTTGACTGGAGCAATAAGGCTCCAGAATGGAAGTAGCTTGAAAAAGTGAACATAAGAGAACTAAATGTTGCCAACAACTGAAATTAAGGGTTTTTTTTTTTTTTTTTTAGAATATAAAATGAACTTGGATGAAGCTTCTCTTGCTGAATAAGAAAGCCAAGAGCTGTGAGGCTGAGGCTAGTACCAAATGCAGTTTGATTCTTGCCAATCCTTCCTTTACGTCTGATTTCTGGGCTGAAGTGAACTGCCTGGTTTAACTTTCCCTTCTCGCCATGAGGAAAGTTTTCTGCTGAGCTCTTCTTTTCCCTTCGAACTGTAGCTCTTCTCTGTGGTCTTGGTCCATCTGGCTTCTGTGAGACTTACTGCATTCTTGAGCGCTCTCATGTGATCACTTGCTTCTACAGAAGGGAGTATGTGCCCCCTCTGACCCCTGTCTCAGGCACTTCAGAGTTCATTGTTTTCTTTTCTGTGCACTTACAAACTATTATAGAGAGAAAATGACTGGTCTGTAGTGCTTTAGCTTTCTAGCTTTCTCTGCTCTCCTCTTCCTTTTCCGTTATTTTTGGAACTTCACTTCTTCCCCATGGTTTCAAGCTTGGGTGTAGCTATTTCTCTTAGTACCTGCTGTGCTGATTTGGCAATATTTGATTTTAACAAAATACTAGCTTTAACCTACTTTTATGCTTTTGTAGGCATGTTTCAGTTGTCTAAAGATGACCAAAGATGGGGGAGTGGAGGTGTGATGGAAAGAAGCATTACATGCTATCGGCTTTTTAATATAGTCTGTTAATAACTTGTCTTTGTTATGGAATTATAGAGGAGCTTTTTCTCATGATTTATGTGTATTATGGAATATTTTTTTTACTACTACCCTTATGCCCTTGCGGGTTGTATTTCATCTGATGACCTGATTTTTTTTTTTTTTTTAATAAAGTCTGCTTCATTTTGTGTATTTGAGGTCACTGAAGTATTTGTGATTTTTTGACCAAATTAATTTACATCTGGATTTCCTATTCTTCCTTTGTCATCCTCTGATTTTTTTTTTTAGAAGGAATTGTCATTCTCCTGAGCCTTCTCTCTTAGATTGTCCCTTGTGGGATCTTTTCTACCAATATTTTAAATTTACTGAAGTCTTCTTACTGGAAGTTAATTGTTCTGATTTTTCTGTTCTTCCTCTTTCTTTTCTTGAGATTGGGTAGTTCCATCTTTTTTTGGTAGGTTATATGAAAGTGATTCTGAACGTTTCTGTTCTCAACTGATCTTTGCTTTGCAGTTATTGCTGGAGATGCTAGAGAGAGAGGGCTTTTCTGGCATTCTCCTTCTTCTGTATCCCAACATACTACCATTGTGTTCTGAGTTTGGACGGTCTTTGTTCTTCTGTACCCTGTAAAAAACAAATGTGACGTGTCCTCCCACTTACCACAAAGTTCTGAAGTTATACGGCTGTGGTGGTTGTTCAAAAGAAGTTTTACCCAGGTTGTCTTTATGGGTTGACCGTCTGTGTTGGACTACTGTCCCCTTGTTCTTTTTTGTTGGACTGGTTGATGTTTTTTGAGCTGCAGTCTTCCACTCTTTATTTTTCTTGACTTCTTGGCAGCTATATCTCTCTTGTTTAAGGTTCTGCTACTTTAGAAATGTTTTAAGTGTATTCATGCTTTGACCAAGTGATTAAAACACAAAAGTGCTTTGATCCCCACCCCCACAGTGTACTTCAAAATAAGGTAGTAGAACTTACTCTTGTAGGCTCAGATATAAAAATCTGTTTACCTTTTAGTGTTGTAATGCATCTGTTTAAAAAATTGTAGGATTGTTGAAGTACTTGCCCTCGAATAAGGTCACTTTATACCCAGCGCGTTCATCTTGGACATCTAATCAGCTTCCAAAAGTCTCAGTAAGATGTTCTGGTGTTGACAGTATGTCTCTTAACTACACTTCTTCCCTCAAATGTGACTGAAAATACCCTAACTACTTCTGGTTAGGAATTCTGTGCAGGGAACATTGTGTGTTATTGTTTTTGATGATATGTTATTTCAATAGCCTCTGGCAACTGCTGGGTTTCATTAAATAAATGTCTTCAATCTGCTGTAACCTGACTTTGAGAAACTGGATAACAGAAGAAAGGAAAGTCGTTTGTTACGCACGTGTGTTCTGTTTTAATTCTCACAAAACTCATAATCTTTAGATGTTTAGATAAATGGATTTTTGTTCTATATTAAAATATACTGTAATATTGGATAATGCTATTTTTGTAATCTTAACTTGTGCAGTTGCCCTGTAGTGGATAGAAAGCCAAGGAGAGAAGAAAAGCTAGGAGGAGAAGGTGGAAAATATCGGATAATCTGAGATTAAGATACAGTAGTTGTTTTTCCTGACACGTAGTTCAGAATACTGGCTATATGAGGAAGGAAACAAATGCCCAGATTTGGTGTGCTGCTTAGTAATGGGATCTGCTCTTATCCACGCTGCTTTCCTACAGATTATGTAAGGAAAGTGAACTATATTATGTTTGTTGCACAAGCAAGGAGCGCACATGATAAGTTAGCACAGAGTAGCTAAAACATTGCAAAGCTGTGCCCTTGTTGACTGTGTTGTAACTTGTTTGTTTAGTTATAATAGAATGATTAGTGTTAGCATAGACTGGGAATATATGTGTGGTGCATATTATGAATGGTTGTGGAAAAGCTGAAATGAGATATTGAGCAAAGTGCTGCATTCGGTTTTCTTTTTCTTAAGCTGGACAATGGTTTTGTAGATTTTAGGGAAATGAGTTTGATCAGTTGAGGTGAGAAGTGATTTTGATTCTGCTTTTGGGTATTATTGTTGGAAGGGGAGAAAAGGGATTTGTTTGAAATTAGATACTTCTGATAAACTTTTTTCTTCTATTTATAAATTTAGAGTAGTTTCTTTATAAGGTAAACACATACCTGAAAGGATCAAAAAGATGGTCCATTTCTCTTTCTCTCTCTTGCGTGCGTGTTTTCAATTCCTGTTTTGAATCCTGTAACATCTTGCCTTTTTTAATGTTCTTTGATCACTAGTCAGGAAGTATTTTGAAATCAGATTTTTTTTTTTTCCCCTCATCCTGCTGTTGCACGTGACAGAGGATAGAAGATTTATACTGTATGAGTTTATTAGATATTTGACAGTATGGCCTATTGAATTTTTTTCCTTACATAAAAAGGAGCTTGGAATATGAACGTATAGGAATGTGAAGGTGGAGTCTTGCACTGCTGGTTTGATGTTGCACGGTAAAGATATTGGGAGATTTAGTTTTGAGAGTACTACCTTTTGATCAAAGGAATAGCACTTGGCAAGCATGGGAGGCACTTGCCAAACTACTGTTGTTTGTTAATCATATTTAAAAAAAAAATCACAGGTCACTTGCTAGTTAAGTTTTTCTGAAGTGTAATCTGTGGCATGACTATGCGGAAAGGAATAAAGCTTTGAAAATGGCATTTGATATATCACAAGCTTTTTCCAATCCTCCTCAGAAAGTAATGTGTTACTACTGTCTAGCTTCCCTTCTCTTTATGAGGGCTGGGTAGCTCTGTTAGTATCAGGCCTGGTAAAACTTGAAATGTTTTGAAAACTTGACAAGTTTTGTCCCTTGGTGCATGAGGGAAAGACAAATAGACTTTTAGCTTTAAAAAAAAAAATGCTAGTTTTTCCTTCCCCGGTCATTGCCACCTGGAGGCATATTTTATATTTTGTCAAGTGGTGTTCTGTTGTAGACATAAGTCAAATTAGAGTTTGGGACAAGTGAATGCTAACAGAGAAGAAGTGCTGGTCATGTCCATATTGGTCAGTGGAGCATCTTGCAGTGATACCTGAGCTAGCTTGAGAACAGGGAACGAACGGAACGACGTCTGTCCTCACGGTGTTGGCTTGACCTGATTAGCCTTGAGAGAAAGAGCTTGCTTGTAGCACCTGACTAACAGGGCCACATTGCTTTTGGCACCTGAGTTGGCGTATCTTTCCTCCAGGACTACAGGATGAGATAGCGAGGGTCAGATGTCTTCTAGTTGCCTTCAAATTAGTTGCCATTCTCACATTTTCTCCTCTCTCTCTTCTTTCATGTCTTTAGCTTATGTCATGTTCATTTTCATGCCTCAGGCTGCTTCATGCTACTCTGCAAAGCCCTCCTTCAGGACCTACCTTCCTAAAGCATTTCAGCCATAACTGCTGCAAGAACAGCATAGTCTGGTAATGGTGGGAAGATATCATGATGTTCATGATGGAGCGTTTTGCAGAGTAGCGTGAAGTAGTTTGGTGCATGAAAATAACATAAGCTAAATAAATGAAAGAAGAGAGGTAGGAGAAAGATGTGAGAATGGCAACTAATTTGAAGGCAAGTGAAAGAAATAACTTCCATGTTAATGAAAATAAAATAAAACAGAACATTAGGAAGAGTTGAGTAAGTTGTCTTTTTACAGTCTCTTGGAAAGTTAGATGTTTATAAGGGATGAGATAATGTTTTATTAACTTTATTTTAGACAGTTGGTGGTGTCCTAGGGAAATGTTACAGAAGCAGCTGCTCTAAATTGTTGTCCGGTACACGCAGATGGTACTGAGTATGTAATATGCTGGAAGAATAATTTAGGAGATCTGGGCTAGCCTCTCTTTGGGCCCAGAGATAATTTGTTAATGAAATTCTACCTCATTAATCATTAGCAGTGTAAAAACTTCAAAATACTAACAAGTGGAGTTGGATGCAATTGAATGTAATGCTTTGGATGGAAATAGTGGGAACTCACCTCTTTGTGTCAGTCATCTGTTAGATAAAGTCTCTGTCAGTGCTCGGAACAGATGCTTGTTTGCTTTGGACTTGATCATATGGCGTGCATGTTTTCATTGTGTTTTCAGTGTGAACGAAACAGATTCCCATTAGGTTTGAGAGAAAAGTAGGAAGAAGGGAAGAAGCTTCTGTACGGGAAACCTTGTTGTCAGCTTGGGCCGCTTCTCTAGCGAAGCTGCAGCTTTCCGTGCTTTGGAGAATTGTGCTTATGTATTGGAATGGGCAAGAGTCTAGGGTTTTCCTCATGTTTCTGAAAACTATGGACTTCATGGCTTTAGACCTTTCTGTTTTCCCAGTGTGCTAGGTAGGCTTCTGCCTGAAATGTTTAATGATTTATGCAGTATGTTTGTAAAAGTTCTCTAATGTTCTCTCATAACGGATGATAAATAAGTAATGCTTGTGTGTGTTCGTGCTAAGAAAGTGATTTCTTATGTGCAAGACGAGGATTTCCTTCCGTGCAATGCACTGTGTAATAAGTAAATTGCAGCAAGACTTATGAAGCAAGGCACTGCTGGGAGGCAGAATACCAGATGTGACAGACAGCTGGACTGATTTGCTGTGTCTAATTCTGCGTCTTTCTACGATAGAAGCAGCCTTTGCATTTTAAAAGCTGAATGCTGATTATGACCGTTTAGGCAAAATGATTCTCGTGTAAATTTTGTGTGCGTGTATCCTGTTTTAAATCTGAATGTGACCTGTGTATATGATGAATAACTGATTCACTTGAACAGCTGGTAATATAAATGGCTCTCTATAGTCCAGCAAAAATCTCCTAATATCTTCAGCAGCTTAAGAAAAATAAAGTTAGGGGAAGATATGCATTTGTACATGCTTTAAAATAATAAAGTAGCTGGAAGAAGGGCCGGTGTTCTACGATCAGTCAGTTTTCTCCAGATTCCCGAGGGTCAAACATCTCTACAGAATTCAAGGACAAGAATACCTTTTTCCTTAGGTAACTCAGTTTGTTGTTTGGTTTCTCCTCCCATGTCTTTGATACGTGATTAATATCCCTTTATGTTTATTGTGTAAAATTGAAAAGTCGCTATAAAGCGTAGGGATAAGTCAAGAGCTCCCACAGAGAATGACAGCAAAATATCAAGTTTATGTAAACTTTGCATCATTTTCATTCTACAGTGCAAAGAAACAAGTTGTAATTGTCCCATTAATGAGTAGCATTAGAGCTGTAACTGCAGCATGAATTTAGGCATTTATTCAGCCTTGCGTTTAATGTCAAATCTCCTTGTTTTCATAGTTTTGTTGTAAGGGAAGAGGAGGAGTCCCATCACATGGGATTATTTGGCTGTGTAACAGAGCGTGTATGTACTGCAAGGCTGGTGACTGTGAGAGCGTCAGTGCTCCCAACTGACTGTAACTGCTTGAGCTGATGTTTTCTGGGCTGCGTGTCAGCTTGTAGCTGACTTCAGAGGGGAACAAAAAACCTCAAGCAAAATGATTTAACTCTCTTCTCTGACCTTGGTAAGGAGAAATGTTTTTGTCCATGTTTGGCAGTTTTAAGCCCATATTTTATTTTTAGAATAGCTTCTTTGAGGAGAGTTCCAGAGCAATACAGGGAAAATCCCCTTAAAGTAAAAGTAGCGCATCGGTGCTCTTGGACACTAAACTTCTAACAGACTTTTAGCTAAACGTTTATGTCCAGCCAGCCTGTCCTGTGCTCCTGGCAGCGGAGAGAAAAGAGTGGCCTGCATCTGCAGCCTGCTGGGCTGAGAGTGCAACAGGCAGAACGTGCCCTACGATGGAAGAGGCCGAGGAGTGCACTAATTTACTGTCCGTTTTCCAGTCCAACGGAGATGGGTAACACGTTGGATACCATGTGGTGGTGTCCTTCTGGTCAGCCTCGTTAACTGTGGGGATTTCCCATAGCTGGCCGTTAGCTTGGCTAACTGGGTTTCTGGCGGAAAGGCAGTACTCTGAGACTTGCATCATTTATTCTTAATGGCCTGAGGTATCGGCTAAACTAGGGTTAAAGTATTCATAAGTGTTTGTTAAAATTTAATTGAAATGGAGGAGTTTGCTTTTAAATTAAAGGTAAAACTCTCAACAGGTATGTTTTTGATGCTGCTGGTTTTTATATTGGACAACCTGCCATTTTATTATTTGGGTACAGATAACTCAAGTGCATGGTGTATTAGACAAGTCTGATTTTTTTTTTGTTTTTTTTTTTTGTTTTGTTTTAAAGCATAATGCCCTGACACTGCAGCCTCACCTGGTTGTGTGTTAAGTCAAGTGTTAGAGGTCGGAAAGAGATACTGTATATCTTGCTTTCTGTTTCTCCAGCCTGCGGCTTGATGTTTCTGAGTGCCCTTCCACTCCTCCTCCTCCTCCTCCTCCTCCCTCTGTGGCTGAATTAGAGGAGTGGTAGAGGTGGGAGGAGGTTTGGGGAGTGTGTTTTCTGTGCCTCTATATTCTGGGTGTCAGCACTCAGAGTAGCTCACTGAGTGAGTGGTTCAGTGCTGCAGCCTCTCAGGACTGTTGTTCTGATCTTGCAGACATAAGTTGTCCTTTAAGGAAGACCCTGCGTAACTGAGGGATAGATGCACCATGATATTATACTTTCTAAGGATTGTGTTTATTTTGATGGACACTGTACATAAATTGTTCTCAGCTGCATAACAATTTCCTACTTCCTTAGCAATAAAGGGCAATTTGTTTTTAAAGATATTTTTTTCTAAGATAGCATCTGGTAAGTCACTTTACTACTTGTATAGTTTTTGATTCTCTGTTTCAACAAGACTGTAAGTGTAATGTCCTACCTCTCGTACTTCTACCCTTGGGCAGTTGCTTTAACTGACTTCACTGAATTTATAAGAGAAGTTATGTATTCCTTATGTTTAAAGGTGCATGCAGTGTTTGGAAATGCTTTAATTTTTAATTGCAGTCTGTGATAATATTTTTGCTCTTAAAAATAATTTTGGAAAAGCTAATTTTTTTGGCTGTCTTTCTGGTTCCAATAAAGCTATTGCGAATTTTTCTACGGGCCTTCACTGAGGCCAGTATTTCATTCATTATGAACATATGAACCATTTTGATTCTTTACCAATACTTCCAAGCACAGATGTGTACATTTCTCAGTGAAATGTCATTTCACTGTATCTTGTTAAACGTTTTAAAGCAGTTTGTTTGACCTCTAGTGTTGAGCTATGAAATTGCATCCCATTGACACAAAAATATATCTTACATTTCAGAAAAACCGGTCTCCCCCAAATCAGGTACATTGAAGAGTCCTCCTAAAGGCTTTGATACGTCTGCAATTAGCAAAAGCTATTACAATGTGGTGAGTGATTCTTTTTCCTCCTTGTGAGCTATAATATACAGTAGAACCTCATTTATCTACATGCTCTAATCTGTACAAAAAAATTGGCGGTCTTTCCAGGGCCTTAGTGCCAAAACTGGATAGGGGCTTTAGTGAATTCTAGTATTAAAAAGATCATTATTAGATTTATGAAATATCACACATGGCTTCTCAAGTATGATGTGAAATTACAGTCTGAAGTAAGTGAATAATATGTGTTTCTGTAATATCCTATGCTCATTTTACATCCTTGGCTAGTTGTTAATTTCTCTTTCCTCCCCCCAAATATGCAATCAGTCTTTGCCAATCACTATGAATTAATGAAATTCTGCTGTGTTAAAATGATTAAGAATATTTTGTCCTTTTTGTTGAACAAGACACTGAACATTTTGAATGAATTTTGCTTCTTGGTATTCATGCTTGTAAATCAACTCAATTATCAGCTTCTGGAACCTCTCCCGTATACTGATGGATTGATTTCTGGACAAAAGTAGTATAGCTAGAATCAGCCTCTAACATATCCTAGGGATTTCTTTAGCCTTTAGTAGTATCCTAGGGATTTCTTTAGTAGTAACTCCCACTTCTTTAGTAGGTAGGTTTAAGAGAGAATACCAAACTCGATGTTTAAACCTGTTGTGACCAGTTTGAGAATCTTTCATTTACTCCCACTAGATACTCTGGGGAGCAAAAAGCATCTTATTGTTTTTGTTAACCACTGCTCCCTACTGGTGTAAAAACAAAACACAGGGCTGCCTGCCTTTGCTGCAGCTGACATTCCATTTTTCCTTTTACTTTTTTTTGCCAGTTTTCAGCAGGGATTGTAAAGCATAGTCTTAGGCTTTCAGCTTTTGTGGGTGTGCCATGAATAACATGAACCCCCTGGAAGAACACAGCAGTTTTGCATATAGTCCCATGATTGAAAGCCATGAAGCAATCTCCTGCTCCTCCCCGCCTCGCTTGTTTGGTGCCTCTGTCAGCAGCCGCAACGCCATAGTAAATGAAGGGCTGCAATTCTGTCGAAGTTATATCCCACACCTGCTAGCCAGGATGGAAAATACCTGTGCAGGCGCACGCGCCTTCGTATTGCAGGCACTAACGCTCTTACAGTGTTACAGCCAACAACTAACAGTCGGCTCGCTCTCCTTTTTGTTTTTCTCTCCGTTTGAAACTGCTGAAGTCTGTAGTTCCAAATGTGTCTTCTCTTTGTTAGAAATTTTTATCCTTGCTGACTCTGTCTGATTTGGAAAATAAGTATAAAAGAGTCAGTGCAGCTGAAATGTAGGTGTGCTTCACTAAATGGAAACTATATAGTCAGTTGAATTGGAAAATTGTGTTGATGCTTACTTTGCTTAAAAACTGCATTTTTACCTACGAGTGAACTGAAGTAAATGCAGTGAAGAAAGGATTTAGTTTCTTCGCTAGGCAGAAAGCTACTTTTACTTTAAATGTAATCTACAGCAGTGTTGAAAATCTAAACTTAAATAAATTGGCAGCTCTCTGAAACACTAATCCTTTAAATGTAAAGGGGAAAAAAAAAGACAGTGGTAGATACATAACCCAGGTATAATCTTATCATATTATGGTTTCTCTGACAGGTCTTTAGTATTACAAAAAAAGCTAGAGTGGCAGCTATTTAATTTGGGCTTAACTACAACTACAGTTTAACCGTATCAGTAATTTGAATCTTTTAGTTTCATGTTATAAGAGTAATTCAGACTGGTTTTGAGGGTAACGATGTACTTGAGTGAAAACGGTAGAAAGTATATGTTTGGATTTGCCTAAAACCATAATTAAGGAGACTAATTATGCAAAGCAATGCAATTTTGATATTATGTGTCCATTTTTTTTTCTTTTTTTATACTATACCTTGGATACTCTATTGTAGTCATCATGGAGATTCAGGTTACTATATGCTTTAGGAAACAACCAGCGGGGGTTAGCTTTTAAAGTTGTTTGATTTAAAAAAACAAAAAAAACAAAAAAAACCCAGTGAAATTAGTGGTGATCTTTGCACCTACTTTTGGGTGTCAGGTTATTTTGTCATTCCGCTCAGTTGCAACTTTGTGGGTGCGCTCAACTGATGCAGTAAGATTTGTACTGTTGTGACTGCTAGCTATTTGTTAGCTGTTGAAGACAGCTTGGGGCTTGAGGGGGGGGAAGTTACTAGTTCATGACAATGTAGATGGTAAATTAGAGAGCTGGCCTTAGAGTGTTGTTCTTAAAACTGTCTGCAGTGATTTGGATACTTATCTTGTTTTCATATTTTCCCACAGTACAACGAATACCTCCTGACTGATTAATAAAGATAGATATTTAAGAATGATAGGCTGTGCAGTAGCATGCACTGTGTTTCAGAGAGGCAAGACTTCATTGCTCAGCTTAAAATCTAAATTAGGATAATTGGCATCTACATTTTATTGAAAAATACTAAGTGCTTGCTATGGCAATACAACTTTATAAAGTATTTTTTTTAATAGTTATTACATATGTAATGATTTTATGTATAGATAAGAAAGCAAACAATTTAAACATAAGTTGAATTTATGTTCCATCTTCCTATGTAAGCTGCAACTCTTGCTTTTTTATAGCATCATTCTCATAGGTGGAGGACTTCCTCGTACTAAAAATTTTATCATTACTTTGCGTTGATAACAAATTTGAGCCAATACTAAGGTAAAAACAGAATAGCTCCTGATAAAACCTTTGGCAACTGTAGCTAAAAGGAGGTATCCTGAACTTAAAAGTAAGCGTTAAAAATCTGTGTTAAAGGCTCGCTTTAACAACCAGTGGTGTTACGAGACTGACACTCTAGGACCCCTTGGTAATTTTTAAGTTGTGACTGTCTTCCACCACACTGGTGTATGTTGAGAGCCTGTAAACCTCGTGGTTATTGCAGCCTTTCCTAGAGAAGTGTTTGTGGTGCAGGCAGCGCCTGTGGGTGTGTGGGACCGGAGGAAAGGAATCAAAGGGCAGTTCAGAGCAAGTTCAAAATGTGGTAGGAGAGGTTTTGCTAATCTCCCCTGCTGGGAAAATAACTAGGATAGGCTAATGGAAGGGTGTATAGTATTAAGATGAGGCTGCTTTCACCACTGGTACTGTGCTGTCCTCTGTTCCTCAGCCCTTTATAAATATGCTCTTTATTTTTATGGATTCGCAGAGCTCCATCTGAAGTTAATAACGCAGATCACATACATCTGATGTTAAGTGTGCTTTATTAGCTCCACCTTGAATTAGGTGTTGTTGAGGATGTGGGGCAAAGCTGGTTTATGCTAGCATCTTGCCTGGCTGGGGAATGCAGGCTAGGAGGGAGAGACTGTGCTGCAAGGTCTTGTCCTCCATGAAATGGTGAAAGTCTAAAGCACTACATAATATGAACCAGACTCATGATTGAGCATGAAACATTTTTCATTTAAAAGTAATTTAGTAACCTGTTACTGAAAAAGTGGGCATGTTATTGCAGGTCATTCCCTGAGGACACAGCAGGCTTTATTCTTTATTCTTTGTATTTTATTATTACTTGTTAACCACTTGAGAATTTAGCACTTAGTATTTCCAAAAGAAAACTATATCATCTCAGCTTGTAAGACAATTATCTGAAGATTAAATAGCTGTTTTAAAAAGAAGGTAAGGAAATGGTATACTCCATACTCCATAGCATGACTTCATTTTTCATTTAAGTATTTGAGAAGTGATGGTCCTTTTGAGGCCACGCTTTTGAAGCTGGATCAGGTATTGGTATTTGCTGAAGTTTGTAGCAGTTTTTGAGAGCCCTTAAGATATGGATTACCTGTGTGGCAGTTTCCATTGTCCTCCTTGAGAGCCTGTCTTAAGGAGTGTGGTCTCTTTAGTTCTCGTGATCCAGGAAAATTAGACATTGATTGTTGTTTCTGCTGAGGTATGGGATGTTTTAGTTGAGTGCTATGCTGCTTGAATAAAAGGGAATGTGCTACAGAATCATGCGCAAGTGTAGCTATTAAATCTCTCTCTCTCTTTTTTTTTCTTTAATCCTCCCCCTCTTGATTTAGAAGGTGATCTGTTTCATGTACGTCATTTAAATTCATTTTTGGGTGGTTGCTTTTGCCTTAGGGAGGTTACTGGGGTTTTGTGCGACAGAATTGTTAACCATGCTTGATTTTTCCATGCCTTGTGACTGAGAGGGCTTGTGCTGTATGAGCTCAGTTTTCTGTGCTATTCATCAGTGTTATGGATTGTAAAAGCTGCCATTTCCATGCTGCTCTTTTGGTACTCGCTCTCATCTGTGCAAATGTTGTGGTGGAGTTTTGGAAACAAGGTCTTCGAGGTCTCATGGGGTCTTGCAGCAGCCAGAACACGCAGAAAGCAGCAAAGAGAAAAAAGGTGATTATTAGAGCATGCGGGGAGATGTGGAGACGAGGAATGTAAGGGTGTTGTGGTGCCAGACTACTGAGTTACGGTACAGAGAACCTATCTCTTCAAAGCGCAGTCTAAACATATTAACCTTACAGCTTCTTTGTGGTAAGTCACGCTGGAAGGATGCAAGGATTCACAAAACTGACATTTTGAAGCTACTTTAGCAGGACTAGTCCTTTTTAAAAGATACTCACAGTAAAATAATGTTGCATGCAGTGGAAACTCTGCTTGTACAGAAGGGGAAAAAAATTAATGTATTCTGAAAACTATTTAAAGGTATGTGTGCGTAACACTGGGAACTTCTACAGTAAGGTAAAGCAGTATAAGTGAGTTTAGTAGCTTGTTTAGGTTTTGTTACATAGTTTTATTTACTGCTGCATGTGCTTTCATTTCTCTAGTAATTTTCCAGGTTCCTGCGTGTAATTTTTCAACTTTCCTGGCTTTTTCCTCCTTTAAATCATTTACTCCAATTCCTTCTTCCTCATATTCTGAAGAAAACCCTCAAACAAAAAATCTTAACAAGCCCAGGAAAATAACTGAGCAATGTCAAACATGAATTTTGTTTCATTTTGAGCTTTTCAGACAGCTTTTATATCAAAGAAGGGAAAGTACTCTGAGAAAATGCAGTGGTGGTGCAGGTCTTCAGGATCTTTAGCAAATTTGTCATTGTTATCTTTGAATGTCTTCTGATATTGTTCAGCACTTCATCAGGGCACCACGTTTTTGTCTTTGGCCCTCAGTCTCTTTTTTCCCTGCTAATGGCTGTGTAACAACTTTGGGATGGGAGATTTTGTGGGGAAAACCCTATTAGAAGAGATTGGTCTTGCATGTACTCCTGAACCTTGTGGATGCTAAATGTTTTTACGTTTCTATTCTAACAATTGATTTTTGTTTTGTTTTATATATATATGTGAGAACATGGGTTCTATTTCTATGATGAACAAAAATTTATTTTTTTTTTTGCTAGTCTAAGTGGTAAAAGTTCTTAGCTGATTTCTTTTTAGAATTTGTGCACCCATGTTGTACTGTATATTATAGCTTCCTAATTAATAGCTATAGCTTCCTCTGTGACGTTCTTCTGTCAGTGTTTAGCAGAGAATGGAGACATTTTAATCTTTGGTTCAGGATTCAGATTTCCAACAAAAGAATGAACTCAAAAGTGGTCTCTCTCTTTCTCCAAATGAATAGAACCATTCAAGGAATAAGCAGAATCAATGACACCAATGAAAGGAACAGTGAATTCTTCATTGACATACTGAACTATTTAAAGTTATTTCATCAGGTTTGCATTTAGGAATGAATGACTTTTTTATCTCCTAAAAAAAAAAAAAAAGAAAAAAAGTATTGACTACAACAGCGAATAATGCACTTAATGCAGTCTTTACTATAAATGCTGAAATAAGATTGTTACTGTAAGTTTGACAAATATGGCATATAGCAAAAAGAGAGTGTTTGTGATGTGGCTTAGAAGCAGTGAATTGCAAAAATTTCCAAAGCGTAGCTATGTTCAATGAATTGCATTTAATTCTGACAGTTCTTTTGCTAAATCATCAACTTTTTGGAGCAACCAGTAGGCCCTCTACTAAACACGTAGTAGAACTTGATCTGAATGCGTTTGAGGATATCCTGAAGCAGGCTCCTTGGAGATGGCCCAGTAAAATGCCTGTTGTAGGTATTTCAGTATTTTCCAAGTTACTTGATTTATATGCAAACAAAAAACAAGCACGTGCTGTATTTTCTAAATTACTGGTTTTAGGCAAGAGTCTGTTGTAATTTTTCCGATGTAGTTTATACTATCGCACTTTTGGTCAAAGCTTAGACATCCCCATTTAAAAAGAATGCAGTAAAGCTAATCATGTTGCTAAGCAAAGTTGACAATTATTTGATATTTATAAATCTGTTTGGTATTCAGACCTTCCAGATGGAATGAAGTGTCTGAATGAGTAAACACTTTGCTAACAAGATTGGACATTATTGAGACTGAGAGAATAACACCAGTTGTTCATTTCTCTTACAACTTGTAACGTGCTTTACTATTCTCTGATGATCTTTGATTGTGATAAAGTATGTAGGGGGAATAATTACTCTTAGCTCTGGAAGAACACTGCAGAGCTCCCACGTTTTACAGGAAATGTTTCTGTTAAGTAAAGCGAAACTCCTGTTAGCTTAGCCCTTTTGTTTTTCTGTCATACAGCTGAAGTATAGTCCTTTGTTTTTCCGTGGTACCTCCCCCCCCCCCCCAGTTTTATTTATTTAGTGCCTACTGGCTTGTTGCTTGTTAATGTTTCCAGAATGCTAAGAAAATTTTACTGTGTTTTACGACTAATATTGATTTTAACATTTTGAAATATCTCTTGAAAATACTGATTAGCAACTGTCATTTATTTTAGGTGCTGCAAAATATTTTAGAAACAGAAAATGAATATGCTAAGGAGCTACAGACAATGCTGTCAAACTACCTGCGACAGTTACAAGCCAGTGAAAAGTATGTGAGTTTGTTTTGTTTTTTAAAATAACAAACTTAAGATCTGTTGTGTTTTGGGGAGGGGTTGTCTGGCCAAAACTTCAATTTCAACGTTAATGTGCATTTTCTTCTGTGGACTGGAAGATCCCTGAGGCAGAGCTTGCTTTTATTTTGTTGGTTCATTGATCAGGACAAGTTTGTCCTGGTTCTTGATGTAAGAACAAGTAAGCATTTTCTTTTAAGGCAGATTTTATTAAAGCACAATTAGTCAATAACTGTAAACCTATAAACCTTTTATTTATCTTGGCTCCAGGTTAAACTCAGCAAACACTTCATACTTAATGGGAAACCTGGAAGACATAAGTTCTTTCCAGCAAATGCTTGTACAGTCTTTAGAAGAATGCACCAAGTAAGTACTATGTATACCACAGAAATATAGCATAGAAAGATACCATAGAATTCTATGGAGCAAATATTTTACTGTTATTTTGCTTGTTGTGTATGTTAATGGTTGAGATTAAAAAAAAAAAAAATCCCTTTGTTTTAGGTATAGTTGTTACAGCATTAAAGCAGCAGGTGTTTGAATAGTGTACTCATTGCTTGTTCCGCTAGATATTGGCCTTAGGATAAAATGGCCGAGGTAGGAATTTGGAATGGTTTGGAAACAATTTACAAAATGTCTTGATGCCGTTGCATACTAGGGGAGAAGTTATACAGGCAGCAAGGCAGCAGCGGGTTTTTTTTTTTTTTTGAGTTATGAATTTTATGTTTCCTTGTGTTAAAAGAGTAAGAAAAAGTCTAAAGGAAACCTGCATCATGATAACACAGTGTGTATGGAGCGGTGGGGGGGAAGAGTGACTTGGAAGACTTTGTGAGGAAGCTTGCGCTTAAGTATTTTTCTGTGCTGGGAGAGGCGTGTAGGATAGACGGAAAGAACAGTCTATATAAAAATTAGTCCCAGTGCCTGTACTGTACCATATAAACAACATAGAGCCAGAAAGAGGAGGGGAAAAAAGGGACTGAAAGAAAAAAAAATGAAGTCAGCTGTCTTCCTTACATAACTCTGGTTGAAATGATAGCTGGATATTTTCCGACTAGTACTCTGTACTCTGAGGTGCAAATAAGAAGGTGAAGGTGAACATATCACTACTGACTTGCCCTGTCAGTTTTCTACTGCTGAAACTGCACTGAAAGTAAAGTTTCTATTTGTGACTTCAGTTGTCTCCTTTTCCTTATTTGTGATGTGGTCGTGCCTGACCACGTGGTGAGCTAATTCAACTTGCTAATCCAAATTTACTGTTTTTCTGCCAAGTTAGTCGTTTGAATTGCTGCTGAGGGCTCAGTCTACTTTCAGTCTGTGCAGGGGAACTACTGGGAGTGTTTGGCCATGAGGAGGGATGAGTGTCTTGGATGGAGGTAAAAATACTGTTCTGGCGGTAGTGGTCTTCTAGATCACCTCAATCTGTTTTATTTTGACTCAACCCTCCTATCCCCTAAGCTGCTCCATGTTAAGAGGAACTTTTGTGATGACCCTGCACAGCATGAGAGAGGATGGAAAGGAGGACTGGGTAGTTTAGATCACTGTTCAGCAGTGGAAGGAAGTATTCCTGAAGTGGCATTTCTTCCACACCGCTTCTGAGAAAGAAGCGTGTTCTTCTTGCTGGCAAGTTAAATGTAGGACTTGATCAGAGAAGTGTATAAACCGCTGAGAATGACCACATCTCTTAAATGTTTCCTTTCTTTTCTTGTCAGTTTACTTTCTGTTCTCTCATTCTGTTGTTACCCTTATATTGTTTCTGTGAATCAGAAGTTAGAGAAGTGAAGTACCTTGCCTAACCAGGCTGTCATCTTTTAAAACTGTTCTGATTAAGGTCTAGCTAAAAACAAGAGTAGAAGACTGAATTTCTTTAAATAAGGAAGTACCTGTTCAAACGTTAATGCAAGATTTTTTTTAACTTGATGTGTCAATTAATGCAATACCTTAATATAGGTATTTAAACTCTGAAGGCTTATTTAGAATTCTTTCTGTGATTTAAACTATAGTAGACCACCTGCTCATGGTGTCCTTTATTTCTTCTTCCTAGTAAGTGAAATGTTGCCCTGTAATACATAGGGAGCATAATGGATGCTAGTAGGTGGGCGGAGGAGGTGATGCCCAAGGGTAACGTTACTTTATTTTTGTAAATATGTTGGTTATGCCAAGTTGTATTTTGAGTTTAATATTTATCGTAGCATATTGACTTGAGTGTCCCAACATCCTGCTGTTCCGAATCTAATCCATCATAATTCCCATCATGTAGAAGAAAGCTTGTCCTGCTGCCTTGATTTCTGTCAGTTTGCCATGTTGTTTTGGCTGGTGAACCTGTTCTGTAAACTCAGAGTAGCTTCCAGGCTGAAAATAGATTTATCATTTTATTTTATTTTTGGCAGATCGCTCATAGTTCCGTCATTCAGGCACTTCATATTGCGGCATCCAATGTAGTGTTTTTTCTAATTTCACGTGTCAGAATGACCAAATCCAGACATTCTGCCGGTTGTAGTGCTGCCAGCCTACGTAGCTTGACATACGCCTGTTTTTGTGCATGTCAGTAAGTGGAATATTGTTGAACTTCCACACCCCACTCAGGTCACTTTCTGTAATTTGAGTTGCATCCTGACAGATCTTTGTGTGTACCTCAGGGACAAAAAAACATTTGATGCTTTTTCTCTCTTTACCGGCGGCACGTTGGTTTATTTAATGCTTACGTTGGTAAGAATCAGTCTATTTCAGAACACGTTATGCTATGGTGAGGTTCTTTGGTGTATTTGGGAGGCTTTTTGGTTTTTTGGTGGTGGATTGGTGGATTACTCTGTATGGCTTTGATTTTTGGTTTGTTTTTTTTGGGAGGGGAGGAGTGGGGTAGGTAGGTGATTTGAATTAAAGCTCTTTTGGTGCATTGCTGAAGGTTTGTCCTGTTTGAACTTGTCCATGTCAGCCTCTGCAGCAGTATAACTGTGGTGCTCCTGTGGAGTGCTCCATCTGTCACAGTCCTGGGAACATTTCTTGGATGCTAGCAACCATCAGACAGATTCCTTTGGGGTTACTTTTACTTTTGATAGCTAACTGAAGAAAAGCTATAACCAAAGTAGTGCATGAAACGAGTCTAGCCAGAGATAAGTGAGAATCTTTAGACTGATCTGCTTCAAAAGTGCTTTCTTTGCTGATCAGCTTCAAATGCACTTTCTATTTTGATGAATAGAAAAGTACCATAACTTGGCAAGCCAGAGATACATTTGTGGGGTTCTTCAGTTCCAGAGAGCATGATTTCTGATTTTAAAACAGAGCGAAAGTACTCCAGGCTCTTGAAGGCCGAAAGTGGTCCAGCGCTCTGGATCTCGTCCTGGACCTGTGATCCAGTGCCAAATCTCAGTTCTGCTGTTGCTCACGCAGCACAGGAGTGTCTGAGTGAACGAAGTTAGTGTTTGTTAAGTTATCTCTGAGCTGATCTAAATGATCTGTGCTGTGGAAGTTTTGCGTTTTGGATGTTTTTGTAACAGTAGTTTGAACTCACGTCTCCTACTTCCCAGGCGAATGAGAGAGGAGTTGACTAGAGGAGGTCAGTCTGTGGCTGTACTCCTCAATAAGGAGGGCAGGTTGGCCCATGACACCAGACTGCCTAGACTGCTTAATTTTAGTCTCTTCTTTAGCAAATTGAAGGCAATACGCTCAGTGACTGTCTTTTAGATAGTAGCATAGATATATCTTTCTGTCCCATAATGGACATAGCTGAGGTTTGCCCTGTATTCTCTTCCTGTCCCCACTTTGTCCCACAACAACTTTGCTTGCATTTGCCTCTGTCTCGTTCTGTGTTTGAGCGCATAAGAAATTTAAAATTGTTCTGGGATGGTCCTGGAATGGAATGGGAATTAAAACAAAAAAAAAAAAAGAGGGAAGGCTGTTCAAATATTATCCAAAACTAATCAGTATTTTAGACTTTCTTTTTATAGTGCCAGATGCAAATTACGTCTGATAAAGGTTCAGCTAAATACGTTCCCTTGCTTGTGATTAGCGTGACCATGAAAAGAAGTAAGGCTATCGGTGTTAAGTGAATCTGAACATAGTATGTGCAGATTGCCTGAAATAAATATGCGGGTTAACTGGTATCTGACAGGTACGGCAGATGGATAAATAGTGAAAGGGGTGTTTGTGAAGAGGACCTTGAAAAGTGGGCTGATGGTTTGTAAATAAGTTGAATAGTGTCTCCTTTTGTTAAAGCAGTAGCTCAGAAAACTGTGAAGTAACCCTTTTGTGAATTGTGAAGCCTCAGGAGATGATACATAACTTTTTGTTTCTTTGCAAACTGCATCCCTTGAAGCCATTAGCTGTAATTGTCCTGTAATTGCTTTTTGAGACCTTCACTTGTCCAGAATCTTCTTTCCTGCCAAATTTAAGTCCAAGACAGTCTCTGTACTGAGCGCTTTCAAACGTAGTGAAGGTATTACTGTTGATGCTCAGTCCCCTTCAAAGTGGGTGAACTTGTGGGGGGGGGGGGGGTGGAATTCTACTGCAGATCTTCCTCTGGGAGAGGGAGAAGAGCAGATGGCTGCTGCCCAGGTAGCTGAATGATTGCTTTCCCTGACGTGCTCTGCAGGTGTGTGTAGGCACATACACTGCTGCATGGACACACTTTGTCTGGTAACCTTATTGTCAAGTGAAATTTAGGGACGTCTGATCTTTTCCTTGCAAAAAGAAAACGTGGAGCTAGCATACGATTTTTTTTAAATCGACTTTGTTAGTCTGCGTTTTAATTTCTCTGGGTTCCTCAGTTTCCCCAGCCTTTACCAGAGCAGCGTACTGCCCAGTGACTTCACGGTAAAGCCAAGGCAAGCTTCTACAGCATATGCAGGATAGAGTGCTGTTCTAGAACAACTAGTTATTTCTCTGTGTTGCAAATCCGGCTTTAGTCTAGTTGTGATCGGTGGCGTTGATCAGAATCTTAAAGTAAGTGTGACTGAACAACAAGATATTTCAGTTCTTCACGCTCTCAAATAGTCATGCAGCGGGGACCCATTTTAACTCTGGGGTAGTAAAACTGATAGTTACTGGATATAGTTGCAACAAATGAATAACCAGCTAGTAATTTAGATGATGTTGTCTTACGATGATGTGTTTTAGGATGTGATATGTACAACCGCTGAGGCTCTGTTATGGTTCTCTAGTACGGTGAATGAAATTAAAATGCTTTGCCCTTCTTGTAAACGAAATTACACTTCACCCTTCTTAAATACATACAAATGTTACCTTGATGAGGGGGAAGATAGGTTAAGTTATCTAATGAAACTGAAATGCTTTAAAACTCTGGAAAAAACCTAAAATATGCTATGCATGATTGATATATTATCACCTGTAAATAATTTTGCAAGTAGAGGTAGAAATCTTTTCTGAAACAATTTGTGTATATCCAGTGACTATGTAAAGAATTTTAATTCTTATAATTCCTTTTTTAATTGAGGTATCAAATATGAGAATTTTGTTGGAATGTCAGCTTCAGAATAAATTATAAAATAGCTATGCTCTCTGTTGAATGTGAACGTATTAACTGCTAACAGCTTTATACAATCTGTTGCTAGGAATTAAACTGTTGTTCTTTAGGCAGCTAAGGAGATGTAGATAATTTATTAATTATTTCTCTAAAAATAGTAGAATACATAAGACTAATGCATGGATTAGAAGAGTCAAAGGAGATGAGTTGCTACCCCCTCCTGAAAACTAGCAATTATTTTAATTCAGCAAAGAATATGTAGTATATAGTTATAATGCAAATACAAAATGTAAAAGCAAATAATGTCAGTCTTTCGTTCTGCTAAAAGAACAGCAGTGTGAGGAGAAGCAGACAGCTGATGTGAACAGCCATCATTCACTTTTTTTTTTTGGCCAGGCACTACAGTATGAAAAGACGATTTAACTATTTTCAGCAACAGTTTAGGGAGGCCTCTTACTATTTAATATAGAGTTATGTGCCCTGAGTATGTCTTCAGGGCTTGAGATTTTTGCTGCATCTGTTACTTCAAGAATGTATTATTAGCTCATGTTTAGATGTATTGAAGGGGACTAGCTGCCAGACAGGAAATACTGCTAGGAAAGCTATAAGAATAGCATTTCCTCTGTATGTTAAGCAACGTCCTTGTTTTTCCCAAAATGCTTGTAGAAGAGGCCACTGTACTGGTTTCAGATTTTAAACTTTTATCTTAAAACAAGTAAAGATACAGATCAGTAAAATATGGGCCCTAGCCTTTAAAGTAAAGAACTTTGAAAATGTGAGCAGAGTGTATCTGACATCGCTAGCTAGGTAGGCAGTTGTCGTATGTTGCTTTCAAATAAGGAAGCTTGCTTCTCCTGCCTCTCATATTTGGAATGCCTGTACAGTCATTTTGACTCTTCATATTGGGTAGGTCTTCCCACGGCCTGGAAAACTGAGCAGGGGACTGAACAGTTTAATAGGAGACAGGCTTTGTTGCTTTGAAATTTTGGGAAATGTTTCTTGGGATGAACTTTGAATTTTAACTACCGCGAGCAAACCCAGAGAGTGGGACAAGAACACTCTATTTGAGTGGGATAAGGACATTCCCTGCCTAGAGGAACGTGCATCCTGGAAAGGTGGCTATTTCATTTGTATTAGAGGTCAGCAACAGAGCATCTCTTGCTTTCCATAGAGCAAAAATACTTAATACTGATATTTAGAAACTGCATTTAGGTGTTCAGGACAATTAGATAAAAAACATTTTTCTTTTTTCTTTCTTTATTTGTCATGAAAATAGCATTCTTCCTAAGAGAATTGTTTGAACGATTGTTAGCATGAAACCCTTTGTTCTAACAGTACATCCCTTGAGTGCTTACTAAGGGCATGTCTAGATTTAGAGCAATGTGAAATACTGGATTGAAAAACAGATGAATAGCAAAAAAATATTCACCGTTTGTCTCACCTTGCAAACACTTTGAAGCGAAGACTCGGATTATATATGTTAGGAGGTACGATCTTTATGCGAAGAGATGAAATGTGTAAATTTTGTATCCTGTGCAAGGAGGGGAAATTATTAATGGGTAAAGACAAATGGTCAGGGACAAGCATATGGTCTATGAGTGCTGAAAATGGTCCCATCTTCAGGTTAACTTTAGTGTAGGAAAAATCAGCTGCTGGCCATATAAATTACTTTTGATGAGGTTCAGTCTTCTAATTGGGGACTTTTTTTAGGAAAGTATAGGGCTTCATCCCTTCCAATCCACTTAAAATATTGCAAACTTGTTAGTCCAATTTTTTCTTTCTCACAAGGAAGAGGTAATCTAGTACGGATACTTTTACGGATAGTTCTGAGAATGGTGATGTGGTAGCAGTAAAGAAAACATGGCTAGTGAAACTATATGTTTCTTCTCAACTTCTATCAGTTTATATTTAACTTGAAGATCACTTTAGATTTAAAAAAAAAAAAAAAAAGAGGGAATGTTTCTTCCCTCCTTCTGCATATGAAGTATGCAGACTAAGGGGATATTAGGAATAAGATTAAAAGAATTGTGGATCTTCTTGTTTTTTAGTTACTAATACACGTGCATAATCAGAATTTGAACTTTTACTTTCTACTACTGTACCAGTTTGAAGCTGGTGTCACAGCTAGCTTCAGACATTTGTACTCCAGATATTTTCTTTCAACATTTTGAGGTGACAATTTCTGCTAAAAACCTATGGAAAAATATAGCGTGTGTATTCATATTCTCTCTCTTGCTCTCTTCCCCCACCCCATGGTTTACATGAAAAAAAATGCATATATCTCCTTCTGACGGCTCTAATCAGAACTGGTTAGATTCACTAAAGGCTGCGTGAAAGTAACCTTTTCTTCTAAATGTTCTTTCACTTACTGAATCTTCTATTTTTGCACAGGTCGCTGAGGCTGCTGTTATTTAACTACCATTTTATAGTAAACAAAATAAACTCTTCCGAATAAAATCAGTTTTTAAAACTCCAAACTGAAATTTTCCTTCAGAGCTTAGCAAACACGGGTGCGTTCTAGCATGAAAAATGAAGAAAGTATGAATTATAGAAAGATCTTATCTATATTTGTTAGAGCAAGACAATCTTTCTGCATTGATGGTGGTGAAGCAGCACTATTGATCTGGTTGCAAACCAACATGGAGGTGCTTTATGTTTCTTCAAAGGGAAGGCGAGTGACAATGGCATAGAAAAACCCTGTAATTGCACTTAACTAGCCTGTTTTTGTGTAACCAGAGCTCAGTAGGTGATTTAGATCTTTTCATGAGTCCTTTAAGAACATCTGTGTTGGTGGAGGATGGAGAGAGAGAGAATCCTGTTGCTATTCCATCCAGTTTTGTCTGAAATGCCAAAGCATTGCTTGTAAGATTTGCATAAAGGCATAAAGATGGATAGCAAAGTGTTCTGACCAGTGGGTGCATTGTCTAAAATCATACTCCTAAACAACCTACTAACTGGCAGTGTAATTTTTTGAAAGAAGGTAGCCAAAATTACCATCTCAGAGGTATATGTTGTATTCTGTCTGCACTGTGGTGGCATAACCAGGTAGTTACAAGCTTGAAACTATAAAGATGGAAGAGAAGGCTCTTGTCTGCCTGTCACTGACCACAGAAATCTATCCATTCCCTTAAGGGGGGAGGGGGAGAAGAAAATCAAATGAAGTAGGTAGAAGTTTCTCATTAAGATCATACTCTGTTCTGCCAGTCTTTTATTTATTTTTGTGTCTATTTGGTATTACTATAATTTCATCTTTCTTATTATTCTGTTTTTAGGTTGCCTGAAGCTCAGCAGAGAGTTGGAGGATGTTTTCTAAATTTGATGCCACAAATGAAAAGCTTATACCTTGCGTACTGTGCCAACCATCCATCAGCAGTAAATGTTCTCACAGAACACAGGTATGTTTACTTTGTAGTCTTTTAAATCTAGTACAAAAAAAGTGCATAAAATAGACCTGTGCTGTAAAGCTCAATGTCTTTTCTGACTAGCATTCAGTATGCTAGGACTTGTTTTTTTAAAAAAAAAAAAAATCCACATTTAAAAGTCCTTCCACGCAGTCCAGACCAGCTTGTCACTTTTGGCAACGTGTTATCAACTGTTTGAGAGTATTTTCTCATTTAAAGTGTAAATGCTGGACTCTGAATATATAAAACAAACTGTAGTAATTACCATCCTCATTTTAAAAACATGAAGGTAAAAAAAAAAACTTGTTTGTGAGACTGTGGCATTACTGATTTAATTACTAGTAGGCTTTTTATGTACTTGGTTAATTGAAACTTATCCCTGTCAAATTCTGTAATTTTGTACACAAATACTTAAGTTTATATTGGTATATGACATGCCCTCATTTTTACTTTTCTGAATGATATGAAAGCAGCGTGAGCTTTTTAAGTTTACAAAAGTAGTATTTCCTGTTTGTAAGAAGTAGGATGCTGAGTTAACGTGACAGAGGTTGCTCAGCTTCAAGGCTGACCTTGAATACGTACAGAAGTTGCATGGCCTATATTACATTGAGAGAGGAATAATTGAGGCCAGAAATTGATTAAGAGAAGGCTATTTTCAGAAAAATTCCCTTTATATGCTCCTGATGAGCACATGTTGCAGCAGCTGTTACAGGGTTTTGGTGCTGTTAGTCTTTGCTTGTGGTGCAGGACAGAACCATGACCTTCTCTGAAACGGTAGACACAGGACACGCTAGCAGAGGATATCTGTTCTTTCTGCTTTCCCCCCTTCCCTGTTGTTGTTTTTTTTAATCTTGTTGTGAAGAACCAAAATAAAGGTATTTTGTTTAGGGAGAGTGAAGAGTATTCAAAGAACAACATAATTGACTTGTTTTCAATGTAGCGTTAACTGCTTCCAAGAACTCGCATCTTATTTTGACAGTAGCACTGTGCAGCCTAGTTGTGACTCTTATTCATTATAAATCAAAAACCTAGCTATTAAATGCTATGAACTATCACTTTTTGTTAATAAGAGTTCTGCTCCCTCCGATCCCTTTGAAAAATCAAGCTGGCATTCCCATTGCTATTTAGACAGGAAGAAGATGCTCTTTGTCAAAGGCAATGAAGAAAGAAAATTAAACAAGACAAAATATGTTTAAAACTCCGAAATGAAATCTTTGTGTTTGTTTTCTTTCTAATGGCCTACTTCAAATACCCTTCTCTGAAATTGGTGAAATGTTTAGGTGATCACGGCTTCCCCCCCCCCCCCCCCCCCTTTTTAAGGCTAAGGTTTGTTTTGTTTTGTTTTTTTCCTGTTTGTGCCTTTATGCTCTTTCCATACAGAGGTCTGGAATTTAATCTGTAAAAGGGAAATGGAGGTGATAGAAACGTAAGCATATATATTTCTGAATATATGGAGATACTTATGGAGGATTATTCTATGTTTCCTCTGTTTTCCAAGAATTTTGAAACAGTTATGTCTGCAAAACAGTGATTAAAATGCAGGGGAGGAAAGTTAATTGTTTGCAAATGGGGAAGAAAAGCATTTCTTCCCTTTTTTGCTGCTTTGGACATATGTTGTCTAAAAAAAGACAAACTTCTGGTCAACTTGATACCAAAGCCTGGTGGAGTCAATATGAGTTATCACAGAGCAATTAAATAATTTGGGTGTGGAAGTAAGTTCAAAGCAATTGTATTGCTCATAGAAGGCAGCACAAAGGGAGGTAAGTTCTGATGAATTGTAATGCCATTTTGTTGGAATATAGGGGTCAGCAAAAGTGAACCCCACCTTTTATTATTGCCCCTATTTTTGTATTTTAAACCTTTATTTTTGTTTAACACCATTGCAGTATGTAGCAAGTGACTTGACCAGAAATTCTGCTTGTAAAAGCTACTGTGACGGAGTTAGAAACTGACTTTAAACGATTCTGAAACTTCTCCTCTTTCATAGAATGCCAGAAACCTTTTAATTATGTAATTTTAAAAGTAAGGGGAATAATAAACTGATTGAAAGCATGAAAGAAAATACTTAATGGAAGTGCCTTTCCCCACCCCGTAAAAGCATCCCTCACAAGCCTTAATGTTAAATTGCTCTGAGGTCTGAGGATAGCCACAGCTGTAATAGTAATGAAACAATTAATTGAATTTTAACTTCAGTATAATATTGAACTGGAATTTTTCAGAATTGTCAAATACAGAGGTTAAGATTTTTAAGAAAGTATCGTGATTTCTTAGCTGTGTTTGTGCTGTGGTTTTAACAGAGGGACCAAAAACATCATGTGTGTTTCAACACGGACAAATAATATAGCAGAGAAATAGATATGCTTGTCAAACTTTTGGTTTTAAATAGCAAGTTCATGGCAGTTATGCTGATTCAGTAATATTTTAGAGGAAGAAGGAAGAGTCTGTAGCGATTTCATTTGAAACATAAGAAATTCCTGC